AAGCTCATTGGTCAATGGGGTGACAGTAACCAATCTACTGTGACATGAAGTTGATGACCTGTGCGCGGAAAAAGATTCACGACTGAATTTTGTATTTGTCATTTTGAGAATAAAATGCCATATGATTATTATTTCAGACATGTTTTTTCTTAATGCTTGGAATTGTCAAAACTTAAGAAATCAATACTTAGTGGAATAACCCTGTTTTCCAATCACAGAAAATTAGAAAAATATAAATAGTAAACAAATATTATTAAATGCCAATATTTTTTATTTGAAAATTTGAAGAAATACAATAAGTATATATATATATATATATATATATATATATATATATATATATATATATATATATATATATATATAATTTAAGTTATTTAAGTGACTTTAAATGTGGCATGGTTGTATTTCAGAAACTGCTGATCTACTGGGATTTTCACACACAACCATCTCAAGGGTTAACAGAGAATGGTCTGAAAAAGAGAAAATATCTAGTGAGCGGATTTTAAAATGCACTCTATTCCTGTCATGGCAAATTTTCAGTATCTATACTCCAGATTTTAATATAATATGCTTTTTTGGTGATTTAAAAAAAATCATTATTATCAGCAATATTAAGCAGTTTGGAGTTTAATCGAAGAGCTTTTATTTGGATTACAAGTTTTTTTTTTTTTTTTTTTTTTTATATTACAAGTAGCTTTACTGTCACAGCTTGGTGAATGAACAAAACAATGAAATAAAATGACCACAAACTTTTTATTGCCAAAATGATCTCAGATACTTTCTTCCCTTTTTTGTCACTGTATATACGTTACTAAAATAGTGTGTTTCTTACCCTTTGACCTCAGAGTGCAATGAGACAGAAACCAAATAAAACAAATACGAAAAAAAAGAGTTCTGCAGGGACCCAGCGAATCCTCATTAGCAGTCATCCGGTACCACTTAAAAGAATATGATCCTCTCATTTAGACAGCTATGATTAAATATTCCCCTTTAAGTCGCACCCATGAGGTGCATGTTTTAAAATTCAAACTCTATTTACTGCAAAAGCATGACGTTAAAGGATTCAAATCAGAAGGAAGCGAAAGGGCTAATTAATGGGGCTCTTGAAAGCCCAGGATTCGGTTATCTAGGGATTGATTAGGGTCAGCTGAAAATAGCGGAGGAGAAGCCTCCGGTAAAACAAGACAAAACAAACCGTGACCGTGTCGATCGCTCCTGCTGCTCCTCCACAGGGACGGGTGCGTGGTGGGCTCTTAATAAGGAGAGTAACTACACACACATGAATGCAAAAATGTATGTGCTGACGTCTTGAATTATGACTCGACTGTCAGTAAACGATTCGATTTCCACTTCTCTGCTGTTACTTGACCCTGATTCATTAGTTTTAATTGTGTGCAAACATCAAACAATTTTTACAAAAACTCTGGATTCGCTCATAAGCCGGGTTGAAATCCTTTGTGCCGTTTTCAAAATTCCAGCATATCATGTCCTTCCAAGTGGCGTCCCTCTCTAATGGGGGTCTCGGCGGCATGGCTCTGGCGCAGGAGGAGTTGCAGAGGCAGCCACGATCTGTGCCAACACAGTGTGGTGATGCGTCAGTGCCCGCGTCTTATTTTACTTGGTCATTAGTGCCTGCTGCACAGTCTGAGATACACAAATATGTCTGGATTTCAAGACAGGCCACAGAAAAAGAAAAAAAACTAACATTGCGTAATTGCCTGCAGAGCATAATCGCCTGAAAGACAAAGGTCCAGCAGAGGGAAAGCCCATGCTAGCCCATGTGACTGTCTGATGGTGTACTTTAGTAAATGTCTTCACTACAGTTTTTTTTTTTTGAAAGAACATGTGCTTGTTGGTCACCGTGAAAAAACAAGGTTGGCCTCTTAAATAAATGAGCTTTTCAGAAGCAAATGTAAGCCCTCATCACATGCACCTGCAAACAGCTGCCCTGTCTGACCATACGCCCCAGTCAGCGCCTGCAATAAGACAGTCCTGTAATCCAACAGATGAAGACCTATCCAGGCCACATGGAGATTAACAATCTGCAACCAGTGCTGATGACAAAAAAGAGAGGCTGGAGGGAAAAAAAAGGAAAAAGGATGAAATGGGACACACTGTTAGAGATAATCCAAACCCCTTCTTATTTTTCCAGCAGCTCTCGCCCTGTGTAAATCCCAATTTAACTCGGACCAAAGCCAACGTTTACGAAGCGCGGATGTTAACAGCGCTAATCCATCTGTGTTTTGCTCAGTTTTGAAGAGATTACACAATGGGCGCTTTTGTTACTGATACAAGAGTAGGTGAATGACAGATACATAACACAAACAAACATTGCACAATCCCTGTGCCAGCATCAAACTTCCACACCGGTGGTCTTTTCGGTTGTTAATAAGATTTATGGGTGTTTTTTGGTAAGGAAACATATTGTCGCTGCCAAGAGATGAGCAAAGAGTCATGGGAGAAATATGTGGCTTGAGCAACAGTTTCTTTTTTTTTTTTTTTCAGCCCATGGCAGATGAGGTAGAGATACAATGCTGTTTGGTTTCCACTCATGCCAAGAGGAGGTCTAAAATATGGGGAGTGGAAGATATTTAAACTTCAACAAAAACCACAGAGCAATCCTGCGGGCAATAAAATATTTTCTCATCCCTCCCCCATCGGTCGCTGTGAACAAAACTCAACGGCGCAGACTTTTTCTTCAGTTCCTGTTTTCTCGGTTCTGTTCATGCAAACTTTTTTGTTGAAAGGAATCAAGCGCTGATGTCACTGGTAATATTCCAGCGGTGCGTTTCGCCAAGATTGCCTTTGAGAAACAATGAGATGATTCTGAGATGTATTAGACAAGCATCGAGGGGGTTGCTGGACACATAAAAACTGATTTGGACCACTGGCTTATCTATGCATGTTGTACCGAAACAAGCATGTTATCCATTTTCCATGCCTCTGCCGTCCTGTCAAACAATTCCCGGGACAGTCCAAAGCTAATAACTCACAGAATGGTAGTTGTATACAGGTTGATGTTTGAGGCGCTTTCATGTTGCACATGTTTGAAGTCTGCTGAGAAACAAGGTCCTCACATTACAGTTCTGAGTGAGGGCTTTGTTTAATTAACAGTGAAAGAAAAATCCAATAGAAAATGATGGACAACTTTTTCATTCTGTATCTTCCATTATTATATGTAGGTATTTGGCTCCTTTATTTATTTGCAGTGTTTGGAGTAACAAATTACATAATAATATTGCTTTTCTAAGTAAGGAGTAAAGTAACGCATTTCTTTTAAAAATTAAGTAATGTTATTTGAGTTACTTTTTTGAAAATGTAATGCAAGTTCATTTTAAGTTTAATTAATTACCTTAAAAAATAAATTGCTGAATTAAAATCATAGTCACAATGAATCACGCAGTCAATGAGAAAATATGTTCATTATTTTGAATGTATCAAAAAGGAAAAGGGGATTGTCTCAATGGACAGTGGTTTTACTTAAGACAAATAGTACAAAAGTAGCAAACTCATTGCTTTAAACTTTCAATAATCTGTATACATGGTAGGGATGCTCCGATCCATCGGCCAGAGATTCACAAAGGAACTGAAATATATATACATATATAAAAAAACTACTTGAATATTTAATCATATAACTTCTTATTGTAATAAGTAATGGATTTAAAGGTGTGCAATTAACTCCTTATGCACTCTAAACTTTGTGACATGTTGACTTCTTCTTCCATGATTTGCAATGTTTCCATATTGCTTTATTAGTGAGTTTTTTGGACATTTTAAAAAATGTTTGACCAATTTTGTTCTGTAAAGTTGCTTCTGACCATGACATGATCACACTAAAGGGTTATAAGTGACATGTTTAAGGAATTATATGCAACATCTTTCATTTATTCTCTAAGGTACGGCAAGATCTCCACTTAAGTATCATACGTGGACTGAAAATGTGCTTAATGCATTATAAAGCTTGAAGCATCAGAATCGGTACTCAGTAGCGACCGATCACCATGATAAGAAATCGGTACTCGGTATCAGCTGCAAAAATTCTGCAGAATCCTTAATATAAGGCATATATAGCTCTGGGTTCAGTAAGTTCTCAGATAACATTATCATATTACGGTAAGTAATGAGTTACTTTTGCTTTACTTTTTATTACAGAGGCTTGATTTCTTTCAGAAAATCAGTTCAGTTTTTTCCTTCTGTTTTAATAGAGGATCTCTGCTATTAACAATGTTGTATAGCCTACACCTTCATTTACCTTTAAAAAACACAACAAAAAACAAATTAGTTTATAATTGTTTTTTTTTACACATGTAAAAATATATTTTGTTTTATTAACTTAAGAGCCTGTACAACAAACTGTTAGAAATAAGAGATTGAAAAGTGTATTTGAAAAAATGTAGGGGCATTTTTATACAATGGTCTAAATAAATAAATAAATAAATGAGTGGATGAAAGTAATAGCAATCCTTATAAAAGCTGAAATGTTTACTATCTGTGGTGCATGAAAAATATATTACAACTATTCCAATATTTATTAGGCAAAAATGCAATATTAAAATAAATTCACAGAACTCTGAAATAACATTTGACTGTGTGTATAAGTATAACTAAATCTAGTAGCTAGATATGAAATTAGTTTTGGCAATACTGAGTTGTACTCTTTTATTCCCAAAGAAGTAAAAAATGTTATCAAACCCAAAATGATGTAAGAGCGTTTGTTTTAATAAACTATATATTTTCCAACCAAGTGCACAACATCAAATGTGCCCAAAAGTAAAAACAAAATCCTTATATTGTAATTATAATGAACTTATAATTCCTTTTAATTATAAATGAAGATGTATTATTTATAATTACCATTACATATTGAGAATGTTACTGAAAAGAACTATCCGAATGTTCAAAGCATTTTATCCACCCAAACTTTCTCTAATAAATGCATGTTCAAATGACCTCTTGATGAATAAATGTTTGTAACGTTATCATGAGCGTCTCACCAGCGATGTGGCCAGACGATGTGCAGTGGCCGCAGTTTCTCTCCCTCGTGACCACACAAAGGGGACGCTGTTTCCTGATGTGGTGTGACACTGGTGGGCTCATGGGACTGATTTGTTCCAGCCACATTGAGCATCTTTTCAGGTGGCTCGACGTCTGGGTAACTGCTGGGATTTATTATCAGGTCATTTACATTTACATGCTTGTTTCATCAATTGCACAATAAATGTTTTAGTACACTCAGCGCCTAGCATAAATAAGTACACCACTCACAGATCTTTCTTTTAAATTGATATTTTATGGAGGTGCTATACAATATTATATTTGATCATATCAATTAGATTAGTCAGTACCAAAGCCAAAGCAGAATACAATTTTAATAGAGGAAAAATCAAGATAAACAAAATATGTACTGTTGAAGTCAATATTATTAGCCCTCCTGAGATTTTTTTTTCATTCTTAAATATTTCCCAAATGATGTTTAACAGAGCAAGGACATTTGTCACCGTATGTCTGATAATATTTTTTCTTCAGAATAAAGTCTTATTTGTTTTATTATTGCTAGAATAAAAGCAGTTTTTATCTTTTTAAAACCATTTTAAGGTCAAAATTATTAGCCCCTTTTAAGCAGAACAAACCATCTTTATATACAAAGATTACCCTAACTTGCATAATTAACATAATTAGCCTAGCTAAGCTTTCAAATTTTACTTTAAGCTGGATAATAGTTTTAGTTTTAGAGTCTTAAAAATATCTAGTAAAATATTATTTACTGTCATCATGACAGATAAAAGAAATCAGTTATTAGTAATAAGTTATTAAAACTGTTGTATTTAGAAATGTGTTGAAAAAATCTCCATTATGTTAAACAGAAATTAGGGAAAATACAGATGGCTAATAACTCTGACTTCAACTGTACAGTACATACAATTTGAATGAAATTATGTAAGTTGTTTTTTTATGCAATATATAGTTTGAATTAAAATGTATTATCTTTCTATTTCTAAAGATGTTAGGTGACCACACTCTTATTATAATGGATTTCTTATAGAATAATAATTATAATAATGGAAGTCAAGTGAAGTCAAGTCAAGCTTTATTGCCATTCCGCTAGATGTGTGGACATACAGTGGAACAAAATGTTGTGTCGCACAGGACCACAATGCTACATAAATAAACAAGATTCTAAATTCTGTATGACTGCAACACTGGACGTCAAGCTGGGGCTGAGCGATGTTGGCAAAAAATCATATCCCGGTATTTTTAGGAGGAATGACGGTATACAATATCAATTCAGTATTTTCCTATAAGTGGTTGCTTGAGAGTTAAAGCCTTTATTAAAACTTTATTTTTTTAGCAAAATATAATTCAAACAAAGGGGTTTCCCTCTGTGTTTACAAATAAACAGTTGCACAAAAAATAACAGCTGCACAAAATCTTTGATAAATGAAATACAGTACAGGTATTTCTCCTTCTTAAAACTGTTGCACAACATTTCAAATTATAATTTTTTTTTTTTAATAAATACAGTATAGGGTTTTTTTTCCAGCTTAACACTATTCACAGCACTTCTGTGCTGTTGTGCAAATAACAAAGTAAACAGAACCATAGAAAACAGCTACATTGTCAGAGCAAAAAAGGAACAAACTTATACAGTAACACAACTAAAAGTATTGCAAGATAGAAAAAAAAACACATTGAATGTTAATATGAAACACAGTATTTTATGTCACAATTACAGTGTTGTTAAAAGTAATCCTGTATACCACAGTTGTGTAATTTATAAACAACAACTAAATCAGCTGTATATGTTTAATTACACATTTACATGTATGTATTGTGCACAGTTATTAAACAGTGAACATATTGAAGATATCTAAAGATAAGTCTTTCACTCCATGCAAAAAAATCCTATAGTTTTTCTTTTGTTTTGACTAAAGTTGTTAAACTAAATATTAAAAAAGGAGATGAAAGCGGCTAGACTATTGATATGAGAAGTAACGAAATAGTTTTAGAGTACTGTGACGAAATGCTGGTTAAGCCTATAGATGTAAACATTCATTATTACAGACCAGAACGCAGAGTTAAATGTGTTATAATGTAAATGTAAAGAGGAGACGTCGTGTAATAAATACTGAACTTATAATCAGTGAATATGAGGTGGTTTCACTTTCAAAATGCGGTATGAATTTGTGTCATTTTGGTGTTTTTAATTCCTTTGAACACATTCAGGTGCATGTCAATTTGACAAGGCTTCTATGTTCGTTCTTGCTGTCAAATGTGGAAGAAATTATAAATAAAAGTTTTCTGATAAACCTCTATGACAGTTTCAGGTGCTCTGTGATGTGCGTGCACGTGAGGGGGAGTCAGATTTGTGCAAGCGGAGTTCGTGTGCTACCTTGGAGTGGTTGGTTTTCACGCAGAATGCGCACGTGTGGCCTCAAACCATATCGATATAAACGATATTGGATAATATATTATCGCGTCGGGAAATCATATCGATATATCCCCAGAAATCGATATACCGCCCAGCCCATAACTAATATACCAGAGATGTATATACTGACTATATCTTTGCATATATTATAATCACTTAAACAATGCATATAACCTAAGACATACTTTTACATATAAGACATAATAATGTTGTGCAAGGTATTGAAAGAGGTGTTTAAGTTTGAAGAAGCAGTAAACATTGTTTTTCTTATTGAGTTTAAGTAAAATGTCTGATTTATGTATAGAGAAAAGTGTTTTTACAGAAGGTTTGTTGACAATTTTTTTTTTTTTTTTAAAGAGAAACAGAGTAACCGGAACTGGTTAAATTTTTAATAAAACTGCTGAATAACTGTTTAAAAATCTGTTTTGGTAAAATGGACTAAAATATATTACCTATATTCAATGAGAACTTGATAAAAAAATATATATTTTCAAAATAGGGTGTACTCATTTATACTCTGCAGTAGTGTTCAGTGCTACAGTTTCCTACCTTGGACTTGATGTCTGAATGTGGCTTTTAGCAGCCGGAGCGTGGATATCATCACACCGCACTGGATGCCTGAGACGCTTGTGTGCAGGGAGGAATCTGAGGACGAAAGGGAAAAAAGCCCTATAAAGCAACATAAGAGAAACTTTGGAAAAAAGGATTTCAAAAAAAGAAACTGTAAACACATTCCTAATTCAAAGATGTTTTTCTTTAACCTTCATTGATTTCTTTAATGAAAACCAGCATAAGGAGCGAATAATTCATATGCTACAGCAGTCAGAACATTACATGTTTGTGCAAAATAAACAAAAAAGGTAACTAAAACCACATTTTAAAAAAAGAAAGAAGAAAAAAGGGGGCCTCATGTGGCATTTCTCTCTCCCCAGCCTTAAAAATATGTCAGGCACACAACCGGACTGATGTATTCTGCAACCACCACGATTATTACAAGTTTAAGAAGTTTAAAACAAGTCACATTTTCACGTAATTCTCTGCCAAAAGCAATCCATAAAACGCAGAGAGCACTTTCTGGGTTCTTTCTGCCTCCTCGGCACCACAGCTCCTAATTGTAGGTTGTATGATGGACGTGAGCCAATTAGCTGCTTGAGAGCGAGATTCCCCCATGCGCACTGACATACTATTATTTTTTGCAGTGGAGCAAAACCGAAGGCACTGGTAAAAATCTAAGAAGAACCAACCTTGTGTTGCCCAAAGTGAGCATTGTGAGATGACAGATATATGACACTATCTTTAGTCCAGTCTGAATTAGTTTAAAACGAGTCAAAACATTTATTAAAATAGCTCAAGATATGCAAAACGCAAGATAATTGTGTAAAGATCTGGAGATCACTGACAGCAAATGCTTGGCTGCTGATGCAACTTTCCATTCCAGTGAGATCTTTTATTATATTTTTATTGTATAAAAGCACTCTGTGATAATTAGGCAGATTTAGGAAAAATTAAACTAAATTTAAAAATTTAACAAACAAATTAAGGTAAATAAAAATACAAAAAATGTATAAAAAGAACAAAAAGATTGATTAACAAAGCAAATTGTTAAATTAAAATAAGTACTATAAAATAAAAATAAAACATTAAAATAAAAATTAAATATCAAATCAAAATCAAAAAGTAAATTAAAATAAAAAGTGATAAAAATATTAAAATTATTTATAAAAATAATACTTTTAATAAAATAAAATTAAAGAAAATTTTAAATTAAAGAAAAAATCTAAATCAAAATGTAAAATAAAATAAAATAAAAAATTTAAGACAAAAAAAGGATATAATAAATTAAAAAAATATTTATAAAAATAATATTTTTAATAAAAAAATAGAACAAAATAAAATATTAAATCATTAACAAAGCGTAAAGTAAAATAAAAAACTTATGAAATTATTTCTGAAAATAATACTTTTATTAAAATAAAAAAACAAAGACAAAAATATCAAGTCAAAATCAAAACGTAAAATAAAATACCATGAAAAAATGTAAATTCATAAAAATAATAATAATTTAAAAAGGCCAAAATAAAATATCAAATCAAAATCAAAAAGTAAAAAAAAAACTGATAAAAATAAAAACTATTTATAAAAATAATACTTATTATAAAATAAAATAAAAAAAGACAAAAAATCTAATCAAAAAGTAGAAAAAAATAAATAAAAACTGATACAAATAAAAAATATTAAAATAATACTTTTAATAAAATTAAATAAAATAAAAAATTTGAGACAAAAATATCTAATCAAAATCAAAACTGAAAATAAAATAAAAACTGAAAAAAAACTATTTTTGAAAAATGAATAAATAAATAAATCACAGTTTCTTAAATTGTCTTGAATAAAGTAGATGTCCTAAGTGTCACTTAAATATATGTATTTCAGTAAGCCAAAGATTCTGTGGTGGAGGCAAGCAATACAACATGACGAACTACTAACCGATTTAGCACGACTTCCCACAATATGTTTATAATATATAAGGATCCTTCCAAGTGCTGGAGAACTCATCGACTTCAAAACAAAAGCGGCTGTAAAGGCAGTGGAGTGCAAAGAGTGTTTCTCTGCGAGTTATATACAGACGGCTGCCTCCACTCACCACAATGCTGGGTGTACTTCCACCACCCACTTTTTCCGAGTTAGTTGTGTACCAATCATAAATGACAAAACACGAGAGGAGAAAGCAGCTTTTCTCATCGGCTCTGTATCTTTGCAACTGTTTTAAAGGCATTTCCGTGTACAGGACACAAGCATGCATGTGTTTGACTGCACTTTCATCTAGATGAAAACAAGTTGTGGAAGCGTTAGTCAAACGCAGATAGGTAAATTGTGGTTTAAATGGAAGAACCTTCAAAGAAAGCTGTTAGGCCACAATATAAATGTACACAGAGCGTTCGCAGTTTGATCTTTTGAAGTTGCTGTTTCAGACGCAATGCTCTAATTCCAAATTCATTTCTGTAAATATACAATTGGTGGGCATGTGAATATGAAACGATTGCATTATTATTCTCCAAACGTCCCAGAGTAAAGACAGAGAGTATCAGTGAGAGCAGTCACTCAACAGTTCACCTCCATTACATTAGCCATTGATAAAAGTGCCAGGGAAGAGTTTTCTTTTCAATGGATGAATGAACTAACAGATGTGGACAGGAGAGCCGGGTTACATTAAAAGCTGCACTAAAGAGATGACAAGAAGGTGGTGGAGGCAAGGTATGAGCGATGGAGCTGCCCCGCGAGCTGGGAGGAAAATTTCATTTCGAGGGCCATTTTGAAAATTACCCAAGGAGGTTTTGACTAGGCAATAAAAACGCAGCCGTGTCCACCGACAGGAGAGGGAGAACGCCACCAATTAGCTTATTTATAAATCAGGCGCAATTTCAGTGATGACTTTTACCTTGCATTTGATTAAATGTGAAAGGATGGTTGGGGGGAAAAGAGGGAGGAAAGAAAATCAAAGTCAAAAATCATTTCATCTAATTTCCTTTATTGGCAATAATCACAAGCGGTCTCTTTTTCCCAGGCTAATGAAAAATTCCATTGATCTTGAGGTTGGCTGTTGCGACGGCTCAGAAGTGCAGAGAGCTACGTGTGAGTGCTGCAAACTTTCTCCAGCAGCTCTTCTGGGTACATCTGCACAGCTTAATGCAACTGGGTTTATTACAAGCTAGCATCAATCCACAACATGCCATTCATAATGATGATTAATACGATAGTAAAAGTTGTCAGGCATTTTTGAGCAATATTTAAAAGAATATTGACAAGTTATAGCAATTTTTTTCATTTTATAAAAATCTTTCATAATGTTGAGTTTATAAGCATCTTTCGTCCGTTGAACATAAAAAGAAGATACTTTAAAGGAAGCTGAAAACCAATAAACATTGACATCCATAGTAGGAAAAACAATGTTATGGAATCCAGTTGGCTTCAAAATGTCTTCTTTTGTGCTTAACAGAAGAAAGATCAATAACATTATATTCATTTGTGGGTGAACTATCCATTTTATGGGGATGCTCACACAATTTTTTATCTTAAAATGGAAAAACCTTGTGTGTTTCGGCCATGTTTTTTTACAAGAAAGCAATGCCATTGCATGCTTTTTGAAAATTAAAGATTGCTTATACAGGGTTTCTGCAGGTTTCATCAAGTCAAAATTAGAACTTCTTAAGACCCTATAAGACCATCATGAATTAAATTTTAGACAAACAGGGCTAAACACTAATGATTATTTCTGATGGCCCAGTTGCGCCAATGAATTTTTATTTATTTATTTATTTATTTATTTATTATTTTTTGTTATTTCTTGCTGACAATGTGTCAAAACAAGAAAACTCTAGTTGTATACACTATTTTCAACACAATGGGCTCTATTTTAATGATAGGCACATAGTCTAAAGCGCATGGCACACAAGCATTAAGGGTGTGTCCGAATCCACTTTTGATATTTTAAGGATTAAAAAATATGGTTTGTGCCGCGGTGCATAACAGGGTTGTCCAGATTCCCTTAATCAGTTATTGGTGTGTTTTGAGAATAAACCAATCAGAGTCTCATCTCCCATTTCATTTAAGTGTCAGTTGCGTTGCACCATGGCCATATGCTATTTACATGGTGGACTTTGTAAGTGGAAAACTGAACGCTTTCACATGGATAAGGAAACAGTGTTGTATGCACTCTTCTGAAGGCATCCATTAGCCTAAATATTTAATTTTGTTTGTTAAGCGCAAAGATTAGTTTAAAAACTATTTCTAAATGATGGAGGAGGCATGGAGGCAGTGTTTTTTATATTTATGTAGAAAGTAATAACTTTTGTAATATTTTAATCCTTTAATTCCTTTTCATTTGTAAAGATATTTGTGTATTGCTGTACATACTGTGTGTATTAAGCAATGTGTATGCATTTATGCTTTTTAGACCTGCTTTCAGCTGGTCTATTGCACAGTCTATTTTAGTTAATCAAAATAGCAATGCGCCAACAATGCGCCTTAACACACCTCTTTTCTGGACCGGCACACTCATGAGTCCACAAAGTGGCGCAAATGGATTTGCTATTTAAAAAACATGGTGCAAAACATGAAAATTAGGGTTGCGCTGGTCTGAAAATAGCAGCACATCACGGCAAACATGTTTTGCGCCTTATTGCTCTGTTTTTTTTTTTTTTTTTTTTAAGTTTACATTGTTACAAATATATTTAATGTGGAGGCAATTACATAACTAATCAAAAATATTTATTTCTCGGCTTTTGGTCCAAATTGATTGAGAATAACTTCTATTCAACCTATTGCATTTCTGTAACTAAACCTAAAGTTTCAAGTCTATTTATAAAAATTATGTCTACTCCCCCTTACTTCTGTAAATAGTTTTGTATGAATGGAAGATCATGGAAAGGGATACTTTTTTCTGTGATTATGATGAGGAACTGTGCAATTGTTTTAAGTTTTCAGTAATCATAAGTTGATTTTATTAAGATGGATTGTTGGTGATTGGATGGATGTCGGCCCGCTTGGGCAGCTTTACTTGAACAGAGGAAAGTTAAGACCAGTTTTAAATGATTTAAGACATAGAAAAATATTTCAGTGAATTTAAAACTTTTTTAAGCCTTAAA